CTTTCTGGGGTTATTTTAATTTATAAATCACTTTACTGGGGGCTCTTCCAGCCCTTATAACAATCCATACATCAGTTGTCAAGTGCGTTTGTACATATGTTGCCCTCACCATTTTCTTTCTTAGAATTTTTGATTAATTTATTTACTTTTTCCATCATCGTTTTCAAAACATTTTCTTTCGACTATAAGTGTCTTTTGCCTCCTAGCTCTTTCCTCTATTTCCTTTTACTTGCCTCTTGTCCCACTATCTTGTTCGACCTTCATTCGGCTCTCCGTACTTCCTCTCGGCTACATTGCACTTTACAAACCCTCACCAGGCATTCTACACCCTCTTGCTATGGATTTTAGATCTCTTGTTGTTCCCTTGTCCCTGGGTCTGTTGGCTCCCCCTCCCTTTCCCTCACCTGCCCTCTCCCCTGTCCCCCAGAACCACCAGTCCCATTGTTTTCTCCTTGGGATTGTTTATCTTATCTTATATAGATAGACGTGAAAAAGAAGAAGAAAGGCCTATAAAGAGTTCCACGTCTGTCTGCTGACCCTTATGAATGTTTTCTGGTAGAGTCTGATGAGGTGCTAAACCCTGCCCTCCGAGTCTGAAGCCTGTTTCCAGGATTTCTCAGGGACGTCGTTGCTTTGCTCCCCTTGCTGTTCTGTTGCGCTTGACATTGTGTTTCGCCCTGGTGTGTGTGGGTCAGACCGGACACAATTTCTGCATTGCGTCTCCAGTGCTGTCTTCCGTAGTGCTGTGCGTCAGTGAGGATGCATCGTGTCTTGCGGTGGGGCTGACCTTATGGCCCTCTCTGTGCTTGACAGCTCTGAGCAGGAGTGTCACCCTTGGGGCTTGGTGGGCCAGGATCCGGTTCTCTCTCTCTCTCTCACGCTTTCTCTCTCTCTCCCCCTCTTAGTTTGCTCCCCTGTGGTCTGAGCAGACCGGCCCCTCTCCCTGGGTTGTATCTCCAGTGCTCTCCTCTGTAGTGCAATTTTCTGTTGAGGGGGTCAACGGAGCTGGGATTGGGGCCCAAAGATCTCTCTATTCATTTGCTGCTGACAAAATGTTTTGAACATGACAATGGCAATAAAAAAGATACAAAAATTTAAAAAGTTAGCCTGCTGGTGGCATTCCCATAAGGCCTTTCAACAATTCAACTCTGGAAATGGACTTCTTTTCCTCTACCCTTAGGCAGTTGCTTCTGCTGGGCCCCGGATGACAGTGTGGCCTGTGTTCAGGCCTGTACACATGCTGCATTCCTAATCAGGGCCCTGCTCAGCCCGGCGAGTGGCTCTGGTGACGAGAGACAGGCATGGGGTCACCCAGTCCCAGCTCTGCGGCTTCGGGCTCTTCAGAAGCTGTCCCTGTCTGCGGGAGACTAACACTGGGGGAAGTAGGACGAGGACTGCATTCCCTAACTTGTAACAGAAGGAATCTGGGAATCTGGTCTTGCATGATAGGAAAGGCCCCAGTTTGGTAAGTCAGAGGTGAGGTCCAAGGACATTCTCTGCTTCACAGCATTGTCACAGATTCTCCTGTGAAGAGTGATGCTGCCTTCAAGTGAGCACCTGGCTGGTTCCATCTCCCTAGAGAAGCAGGTAGCCATGCTACCCAGCGCCCCTCATACCTTCCCCCTAAACAGGTATTAGGGGTCCTCATCTATGAGCTCAGGAACCTTCATGTAGATACTACCCACCTCGTGACGCATGTGACTACTGACTATGCATGTCTTAAGGCTACCTATGAATGTCCCAAGACATAAAGGCTCGCTCTCACTTCTCCCAGTTCCACGTGGACCATCAAGAGTTGCTGAGGTGAGCACGCTACTATGCAATGTGTCTGACTCCTTTATCTTACTCTCTCTCCTATCTTACTTATCCCCTACGACCTTGCTGTCATCTTTCTACCTGATCGCCGTACATTTGTGCCTTCTGGGCTTTCGGTTGTTAGAGACTGGTTGCCTCTGACACCTGTCCTTGCCACTGTCTGTTCTGTGGCTACAAGGTGCATCAGGTATGGGGGTGAGCTCTCGGGGAGCAGCTGCACCCACCTTGGGTGGGATTGGGTGGGCATATCCCGTCTTCACTGCCCCCCAGCGGGCAAGCTCTGAGTTGTGCTAGCACCTCTCAGAGGCCCTCAGGGGAGGGGGAGCCGTTGGCGGCCCTGTGACCCATAGCCATGGTCTGCACATTACCACACTGTCTTCTGGCTTCCCTTCCTGGCCTGGCTCACATCTCCACACTCCTGCTGCTACTTTCTGTAACGGCACCCTTGATCAACCACCTCCACAGGTCTGCTCCGAGGGACTAGAGGGTGGGGTGGGGCTGGGGACGCAGGACCTCCCTTGGCATTTACGAGTCAGGGGTCACGCCTTTTTTTGAGAAAGAGTGGTAGACTTCAGGCCAGTTAGAGGGCCTCCTGTGCCTCTTAGGCTGCCTCAGAAGCCCATTCCCATGGTGAGGAAGAACTAGGCGCCTTGTCTAGACAGAGTTGGGGATCTCAGCTGCTAGAGACGTAGTGACAATTTCAGGAATGATTTGAGTCGGCTTTTAACTTTGGGAGCTTGAAATCAGTCATTGTGGGAGTAGTTACACTCTGGAGATTGGCAAGGCTACACTTCAGCTTCCTCACCCTACGTGAAGGAGGAGCCAGCACACTGGGTCCCTCAGGGGGAGGGCCAGGGGAGGAAGAGAAGGCAGACCAAGAGGACAGACTTGGGCAGAGGCTGGAGACCCAAGGGTGGGCTTTTCTCTACAGGAAGAGTGGAGTGATACCTGGGTTAGAGATGATTGGGGGTGGGGGGTGGGGCGGGCCAGGTCCCCAGAGGGTGCCTTTGTTGGCCGCACACATCCTTCTTTGCATTTGGTGAGTCTGGAGCATTAGAAGCAACCCGGGCTCAAGGAGTTCCGGGACAAGCCTGTTTGGTGTTTGCCCAGTCTGGTCCCATGCATGGTCCAGTCGGCTGCAGTGGCCTGGCCTAAGCTAGAGCCCAGAGAAAGATCACTTACAAGGCTGAGGCGGACCTGTGCTGACCACCAGTGTCCTCGAGGTCCACCCTAGTCTGTCAGCTACAGCTAATGGAGGGTGCCGCGGGAGGGCCTATCAGGTGTGTGTCTGAGGTGTGAGTGTGTGCTGCGTGGTGGCTGGGTGAGCGGGCTTGTGAGTATGAGTGCATGGACCCATGTGGGTATATGGACCTATGTGACTGCGCAGTGGGTGTGGCAGTACGCGTCAATCTGAAGAGGGTGTGCCAGGGCAGTTGTGCAAGGGAGTGTGGGCAGGGTGTGTACTTGTCATTCCTCGAGACCTTTCATATCTTCAATTTAGTCTGTGCAATTTTGCTTAGGCACACT